CCCCCCCTTGTCCTGCGGCTTCCCCCTCCCCTCCTTGCCCCCCCCCCCCACTGGCTTCAGTGCTCAGGATGGAGAGTGGAGGATTGGTAAATATCAGTGGAATTTAGAGATCTTCACTGAGCAGAGCAAACACTGGAGTTTGCTGGACACACACACACACACACTATCAGACGAAATGAACGAAAACTAAAACATTTTTCATTAGTTTGGTCAAACAAAACAAATTTGTATGCTTTTTTGGATAGGCCACCACGTCAGTTGGGGGGCACAATGTTATGTTCTTGCCTTGGGCGCAAAAGGAGCTAGCTACGGCTCTGGGGGGGTGGGGGGGGGTTAGATAAATACTTGGGGTGGATCATTTAAGCTCTCTCTTAATTCCCCAGGCCCTGCCTCTGGGGAGGCTGCTATAGACTTTCTGAGATGGCTAGGCCTGAAGCCTGGGGACTAGCCATGTGCTTACACTAGGGCCTGAGTCTGGAGGCCCAGCGGTTGCTACTGATGACAAGGATGAAAATGAATGGTGACTTCTACCTCAAGTGCTGCTGTGCCAGGTGTTTTTATTGCTCTGAATGGGGACAGCTACCACACCCTGCCACTTTAAGTAGTCTACATCAGCCTGGATGATCCTGACCTTCAACCTCTCTCCCTGAAGTTTATCAATAAAAGTTCTCAGCATCATATCTACAGTCTGGATATCGCTTTTATCGATCATCATAGAGGGCGGTAAGTGCTATTGGGCGAAGTGAGTGAAAATGTCCCTAGACAAGAAGATTACCTAGTTGCGGTGACCTAAGACCAAGGTATTCGAGCCATCTCAAGGTGTGCTGTGTATTTATTACTGCAATTCATTGCAGAGGAAACACAGGGAGACCAATTGCTTTATTACTGTATGCTCTCTGTAAGGGGTGCCCTACACCAGATTCGTAGTAGTTAGGTTAAAAAAAAGGCAGAATATGGGAACTGAAGAGGGGGGCATAACCCCATAAAATCCAACAATGGGAAATAAAGTGAATATGATCACAGTGAATAAAATCAGGGGGTAGAACAAAATCACAATAGGTGTTCATTTTAGACAGAACTGTGCACCCAAGTAGTGATACTCAGGACCGGATTTACTCTCCCTGTTGCCCCAAGGCCAGCTTCCGCACTGCGTGATACTCTCATGTTAACACTCAACAGTGATATTTTTTTTTAACTGCCAAAGACAGAAGTACCTGTCTGGATCTGCTTTAGCTGTTCATGTTTACCAGTTCTCTTCAGAAAGTTGTAGGTGAAAAAGGAAAGTTGGTTTACTGAAGGAGAGGAGAATGTTCACAAAGCAAAGTTAATGTTCACACATGTTTATTGAAGAGAAGTTGTATTTACTGCATTCAGTCAGGTGTGAGGCAGCATTTTTAACTTGCCTGGGTATTCAAAGTGAGCACAGCATTACCTTATTCACTAAGCTAAAGAACATTCACTGTGCAAAGTACCTTATTCACTAAGTTAAAGAACATTCACTGTGCAAAGTAAACATTCTATGCTTCTCAAAATCAATCAACCTCAATGTGAATTTTCATATTTCTAAATGAATTGCCTCCCAATGGGAAATTTGGGAACTCCAACATTTTAGTATTACCTGAGGAAAACTTTAGAAACACTGTGCTAATTTATTACCTGTATGGGGCTCAGGCATAAATCTTCCGCCCAGCATGTAGCTGGGTGAATGCCATTTGCACAGCATTACAACCACTAGATGGATTATGGATATATATGGATACATCTTTAAAAAATTAACAGGGTAGAAACGGACTGCATGCATGCATTTGTATGCATATACCCTAGTGTCAATGAGCTTAATCCTGTTCTGATAAGTCACAAAGATAAGTGCACAAAGGCCAGACATTGTGAAATATGATATGACTAGAAGGCTACAACATTGGTAATAGGTCCATAAAAAAAATGGAAAAACAAAACAAATCTGGCTGTTATGTCATAAAGCCAATCAGCGTTAAGCAACATTAGAGCCTGTTAACACAGCTGGAAAATGACTACAAAAGAGCAGTTAATAATTTTCCATTTTTTTCAGTGATATTGAAGGCTGTGCAACCAGCTCTGGGTGAGTCATAATAACATAAACTTTCCTCATTTCCCAGTCATGTGACACACCATGTCATACCTGGACTGATTATCTTATCCTTTCTATTCTGCAATTCCATGTGCAAGACATTAATTATATTGTGGACTTTTTGAGTCATAACATAATTTTTTTTTAAAGTGATGCACTCACAAAGCAAAACACCTATATAATTAGCCTGTAATGGTAGCAGTCATTCTCTCACCCTACTGCTGCATACTAGCAGTGATGAGCGAGCTGAGCAAGGTTCGATTTGCTGGATGTACACTGAACACTTGGAAAAATCAGTAAATACTGAACGTAGTGGCCGAACCCCTTTTAAGTCTATGGGAGCCAAATTTTGCTATTTTTTCTAACATTTTTTAAAGCCAATTTGCAAAATTCTGTTAAAAAACGATATGGCTTGCTGGGCGCTTCCATGGTTAGCATGCAGTGCAAGCAAATGTTTTCAAAAAATACAATTCACCATGGATTGGGTCTTTTAATGTGGCTTAAGTGCAACATTAAACATACACAGTTAATTCAAGTGACATGCTTGGGGGATGTCTTAAACCTGCGCATAAAGTTGTGCACCTGTACAATGTACTTATGCAAAAGTGACCTTAAGGGTGGATTCACACCAGATGCGTTGGGGCTGCACTGTCTGCTTTTTCCAGTGCAGGATTGGGATAAGGCATCCCCCTAATGCAAGACACGACAATTCGCCTTGTCACAGATGGGCTCAGTTCACGCCACCGCAAAAACTGCATGCAGTACTTGTTTACATCGCGGCATAATGCGATGCGGTACCACCGTCTCCCACCATGCTGTGCCCGTAGATCTTAAAGTGACACTAAACTTAGGATTCATAAAATGCATTCAAGTACCTTAACTATTAACAAAAATGTATCTTATTTCTGTATTACTCGGCTGTACTTCCTCAAATTATCTCTGAATTCATGCTGACACTGTCCTTCCTTCTGGAGGGGGGCTACTTTTTTTCTCCATGTCCCTGCATGTGTTGTAAAATAGTCACCGCTCCAAGCTCACTCTTGTGATGGACTATAATTTCAATACAAATTTTTAAACTAAACGTGACATTGTAGTCCATCACAGGAGCAAGCTTGGAGCGGGGGCTACTTTACAACACACACAGGGACCATGGGGAACAAAAGTAGGCACCCTCCAGAAGGAAGGACAGTGTCAACATGAATTCAGAGATGATTTGAGGATCTACAGCTGAGTGATACACAAATAAGTTACATTTTTGTTAACAGTTAAGGTACTTGAATGCATTTTTTAAATTTAACTCCCGGTGGACGTAGTATATCTGGACTTTTCCAAAGCATTTGATACGGTGCCACATAAACGCCTGTTATACAAGCTAAGGGCTATGGACATAGATGAATTAATGTGCACGTGGATAGAAGACTGGCAACGAGAACGTGCACAAAGAGTATCAGTAAATGGCACCTTTTCAGACTGGGCGGAGGTCATGAGTGGCGTGCCCCAGGGTTCTGTGCTGGGTCCCCTGCTTTTTAACCTATTTATTAATGATATAGCGGAGAGAGTGAATAGCTGTGTCTCAGTGTTTGCTGATGATACGAAAATTGAGAGGGTAGAAGACACAGATTTAGAAATGATAACATTACAGGAGGACCTGGATAAAATCGGGAAGTGGGCAACTGTATGGCAGATGAAGTTCAATGTCGATAAATGTAAGGTAATGCACCTTGAAGTTAAAAATAGGCAAATGGACTATACACTTATGGGTATGAAACTAGGGAAGTCGGAAACTGAGAAGGATCTGTGGGTCATTATAGACCGCAGATTGAATAACAGCTCGCAGTGCCAGGCTGCTGTAAACAAAGCAAGTAGAGTCCTGTCTTGCATTAAGAAGGGAATGTATTGCAGGGACAAGTCTATAATTTTGCCACTTTACAGATCACTGGTTCGGCCACATCTGGAGTATGCGGTCCAGTTTTGGTCACCTATACTCAGAAAAGATGTCCTTGAGCTGGAAAAAGTCCGACGGAGGGCAGGTTGGACTTGATGGACTTATGTCTTTATTCAACCTCCAAATACTATGTAACTATATAAGTTTAGCACCACTTTAATGAAATGTCACTTGTTACATTTCAATAAAGTTATTAAAAAAAGTTAAACAGTGCGATGTGCCAGGATCAACAAGTGATCTTTATTTATTGTAATCCATCAGTAATTAAATATTCAGGGATGTGTTGTCAGGTCACATTGTGCTGCCATTTTGTTGTGCCGTGGAGGAACGTAGGGGCACACTATGTTTCTGGCACATCAGCAAGTATTTTTGTGCACCTGCAGCAAGGGGTAAACATGGGGCAATGTGTATGTATTGCAGAGATGTATTGAAAATGCTTTTAAAAATTTGCCTTGATTTATGCTTTAACCCCTTCGTGACGGGAGACGTACACTGTACGTCCAGCCACAAAGGGACCAAATGACTCGTCACGTACACTGTACGTGACGAGTTATTTGCTGCACTAGAAGGCTGCTAACCGCTGAGAATCAGCGGTTACCTTTCAGTAATAGATGTCTAACTATCTAGAGATCCATTACTGAAAGGGTTAACCTTTTTCAGACACCCGATACCTTAATATCGGGTGTCTGAGAGTCACAGCAAAGCAGACACACATGTCGGCTTTTGCCGGCATTCTGACAGCTCGTATAGATCGAGAGATATCTCTCTCAAGCTATACTGGCTTTTTTTTTTTTTTTTATCTTTTGACTTTCAAGAATAGATACAAAATGTTATGTATTAGACACATAATGTATCTATTCTTGAAAGTAGAATGTTTAAGTTTTCTGAAACATTCACTGACAGCTGAATCCTGAACTGCTGCAGGATCAGTGTCACTAACTTATTATCGGCTGTTCTGAAGTTTGAAGCAGCCTGATAATAAAAAAAAATGTATTAATTTATCAAGCAGTCATAGTGAGATTAATTCACAATGACTGCCTGATATAATTAAATAAATAAAATTTGTCAGTATAAAAAAAGTGAAAAGTGTAAATAAATTAAAAAAAATAGTGAAAAGTGTAAAAAAATTAAAAATAAGGGACAAATAAATGAATGTATGTATTGCATTTTTTTTTAGCTGTGCTGGTTTTGTTAAAAAAAAATACTACAAATCAAAACTGGGAAAAAAAGTTTTTTTTTACGTTTTTTCCTCTTTTTTTAATTTGTATTTGTGCTAAGTGAGGCGTTAGACACACATATGTGATATAAATATATAGCCCTATCTGTCCTCTAAAAAACAATATATAATATGTGTGGGTGCACTTTGTAAGAAAGTATATTACTGACGTGGAAGAATCACACAGCAAAAATGTCAAAAGTGTGTCAGTCATTTACGAACAGAAACCAAAAACAAGCTCAGTCATGAAGGGGTTAAAAGCTGTTCAAAGCTTGCCAAACTTTAAAAAAAATGCTTTTTAAATGTTTGCTGTACACACTCTCCTTATATAAGGTGAAACCCATGTAAGCAAGGCCTTGATAATTTGGGATAACTATATCATCTTTTTCCAGCAGTATTTTTATAACTCAAAGAAAAAAAGTATTTTTTGTTCATTTACCAGCTTTCAAACTATGGGCATTTTGTTTAAACTCTATCATAGTATCTATATTATCGAAACATTTTTTGAAACATTATCAACTGTAGCTGCAATAGGAAAAGGATTAGAGGGGAATGTTATACTTCAACACTGGTCCCTGGTGAAACCGATGGAAATGTATATCTATTTAGTAACATAAAAACACAACATAAGCTGTTTTTACAGAATACTAAGGGTTCATTTATGTCAGAGAACTAGGCATCTTAGTAACAGAACCTTTCAACTCACTTGCATGATAAATACATTGTTTAAAATATACTGTATTTTTCCATGTATAAGACTATACTTTTCTTAAAAATATTTACCTAAAAATGGAGGGGCGTCTTATACACGGGGGCAGAGAGGAGAACCGCGGTTGCGAAACTGCTGATACTTCTGAAAACTAGCCTCACAAGTGAAACTTCCGATTGCAGAGACAAGCTAACAGGTTTCCTCCAATCATGAGACTTATGTACCTGACGTCAGCTGATGCTGCGGAGAGCGTGTAGCCAGTGCCCAGATGCAACAGGGAGCCCATAAAAATGTCAGAAAACAAAAAAAAATACCGGTAAATACTGGTACCAGTAAGTGGCTGTCTTACTCTGCAAAATTTAAACTGGATGTAATCAGTTATGCAAAATTGCATGGAAAATATTGATTTCTGAATTTTGGGTAAGAAAAGTGGGGGGCGTCCTATACATGGGGGCGTCTTATAGACGGAAAAATACGGTATGTGGAATATTCAGTTATGTTCTTTATGATCATTTACACATGGAATCATTTTTGAAAAACCTTACGTGTTTCTTGCCACTCAGAATCTTCTTTCTCTATCTTTTGTTTGATCTCTTGAGCTTCTTTCCAATTCATATAAATTTCTTGAGTACGTTCTTCTAATTTTTCATTTTCCTTTGTTTTGGACTTCACGATTGTAGATTTATTCTGTGATAACACAACGCAAAGAAGAAACTGTTTTATCTTACAGATATTGAAAAATACTGCAGAAGTAATTCTAGCACTGCATTATTCCAAACCAGCAGCCAAGGTTGCAGCAGAAAGCCACTACCCTAATTCATAACTTGCATTCTAAATTATTTCTATAATCTTTTCTTTGTCCTGATTTAGGAATATTTATAGTATTAGAAACATCACATTAACAAATATTAACTAATACATCAAGATTTGCACCATTTCTTATCAGATGAGAACAACAATGGTTATGATCAGCTTTCTTGCCTCCTGCATTTGACTGCTCATTCGCCACACTGGCTGGTCACATCTTTTGGTACTCACAGATAAAGAATTGATGTAGGTGGATCAACTGTTATATTATGTTTATTAGTGCCTTTAAGAGAACCACTCATGATTGTGTATATGCAAGAATCTGAACCATTAGCCATAAAGGTACTGTCACCGTCAGTGACCGGGGCACACAAAATGACAAAAAGTAGCGTGCAAAAAATGGTGTCTGGGATGAAAACACAGGAAGTAGGTGTCTGTGCGTTAACGGGGCTGCACCAGAGACGCAGGTTCTAAGTAGGGCCAGGTGTTCAACAGTGCCTCTAATGGTGAGGATGATTGGCTGCTGGACACCTTCCAGGTTGCGGCCCTCTAGCACGCCCACACAGACATAAAGGTTAGTTGCAGCACCGAGGTGCTGGATGCAACAGCAGGCAGGGTTGAAGCCTATACACAGACACACAGGTAAGCACAGGTGCAGGAACTCACTTAAAGAAGCTGATGATCAATTCAATGCAAGACATACAGGATCCCACTGTGAGGTAGAGGGAATCCAGACACACAGGGAACAAGGTAGGTGGTAGCAACCGCAGGGATTACAAAAGCAGGAGATAAACAGGAAGTCCGACTGGGTGTAAAGACACGTTGCTCGAACGGCACGGAACAAGTGAGCTGGACTTTTAATGGAGAGGTTCAGAGTGGATTGGCCGGAAGCCAAGCAGCTCAGACAGGATGTAAAACCCGGTGCCGGATCATCACACAGGGAAGTGCAACAGGTACCGTATGTAATATTGTTATTTCTAGTTAGGAGGTGGAGGATGGAATGTAACACCAGTGTATGTGAACAAGGCAGAAACCTAATTGGGGTTAAATATAAGTCTTTTATAGGTGATCCCACATATTAGTGATAAGGTTAAATATTTAGCCAAACCGTGACAGTTTTTCTGACAATGTTTATCACATATCATAGTCATACAGCCCAAAAACTATTACACTAGAGAATAATAAAAGAGCAACCACAAAAACAGACATGTGATTTGATTCCCAAGAGGACATTAAAATAGAAGTCTTAAAATAGGTTCTATTTGTCTACCAATAATTAATAACAATGAGAATTATCTATGGGATATAGCCATTTGTAACAGACAAAAAGAAAAGGAAATACACAGAAGGAATCAAGAGAGTAAGCCTAAAAAAGGCTGGGGGCAGGGCTGAGACTATGGGGGAAGTAAAGGGGAAGACCTATCCACCATTCGAAAGGCTAATAGGCTGATCAGAAACAGACTGTGGAAATGGACAACTCACTATAACCATAAGAGGTTGCTGCAGAGACATTTTGGAACTAATCCAACAACAATACGTAACCCTATGGGATGTCCAGGAGGAAAGATAAGTAACTGCATCCCCCACGCTTTACTATCCACTGTTGGGGTGTAGTAGAGGACTGCTCAGACATAACCACAAGGGTACTCAGTTATATATGCCTAGGAGTGACCCCTTTGTTATCCCAGCTTTGAATAAGTGCATCTAATACCTATAGTCGTGTATAAAGGTAAACCACGTTCACGGATTCCAGTTTTGAACAAGTGCACCCAATACCTTAGCTGTGTATAAGGGTAAACCACGTTCACGGTTTCATACATATCAATTCATATGTATTTGTTCATCATATTATATTATATATGACTGTAGATTAATACATATTTTTTCACCTATTAAGAACTATTTAATTGATCACACATCTTAATTCACAGAATATTATATTTATACAATTATTTTATATTTAATAATTTATTCACATATTGCACTCGTTGAAGAATTAATGTTGGTGCATGATTCTTAGTTGATTGTTATTATGACCTAGCGCAACATGCTAGCAATATATTTACATGGTTTTCACTAAACATTGTTGCAGCTGGCAATCTTTTATACACTGTATACTTCTCCTAGCGCAACTACTTGTCGTTTTCTAATAGGCTGATCACTTTTCAAGATAATTTTCACTTTGCAAAACAATTTTCCCTTAAGTTTGCGAATGAGGTGAAGCTCTCCTGGCTTCCATCATTCAATCATGTGCAAGCAAAAAAACCTGGGTATTTTTCTTGCACACGATTGGATATCCTTTGCAAAGTGAATTTTCACTACATCCACTAAGCTAAAATTCCCAACAAAGTGAAAAGCCTATTTGCGGGGGCGGGGAGGATGAGCACTGCGGGAACACAGTAGAAAATGAGGAACTAAAAATGTTTAAAGGATAAGTTTACCTTTTGCAGAAAAATAAAGAAATGCATAATTTAGAATATATAAAAAAAAAGAATTAAAGAAATCATATTTCCATTGAAGCCCGGAAATCATTGCAATTGTGATCATTCGACCACAGCTGCAAAGCTCAGACTTCTGCATTTTCAAACTGGCACAGCTCGTACTGAGGTACGGAGTTTCAGTTAGGAGAAATAGGGAGAAGGACGGCTGGACTTCATACTGCATTAAATCACCTCATACGGTGTCCAGCTGTCCTCGCTCTAGGTAGATGCGAGAATATGGGATGCCGTAAGAGGTGATTTAATGCAGTTTGAAGTCCAGCCATCCTTCCCCCCCATCCATCCTAACAAACTCCATACCTCAGTACGAGCTGTGCCTGGGAGAGAATGTGCAGAAGCCTGAGGTTTATAGCTGTGATCAAGTGATCACAATTGCAATGCTTTCCAGGCTTGAATGCAAATATTAAAGAAATGCAAAAGGTGAATTTATCCCCTAAAGAAGATAAAGATTTATGCAAAGGTGGACCTCCTCGGTGGGAACAAAAAAAACCCCCCCAAAAACTTTAATATCACTTTAAATATAGTCATTTTTGGTATTTTAAAATGAGCAAAGCCTTGTAATGTATGTGTATCTGAGAGAAATGATAGTGTTAATTTAGTCAGCTATATAACCTAGATAGAGAATATGATGACTCAGCAGGGTGTCTAAACATTTAATATAACTGAAATATTAATTAAGTTCTTTCTTATTTTTTTATTGTACTGGTCACAATACAATTACTATACAATACCATCCCTTTTCCAAGAAAATGTATATATTACAATAAACTTCCAGCTGTCAGATGAGTTTCCTGTTATGTTAATAGCTGATCTTAACAAAAAGTTGTCCAAAAATGTTCTTGCTAAAATTACCTTACAGTGTAATGCATAAACATTTTAAACTCAGCGAGGAGGGTTTGCGATGATCACAAGTATGATCTGCCTGTTCAAGATGGGCAGATCGTACAAGATTTTAATGACCTTACAACCATCGCATAACGAAAGTCGTGCGATGGTTGTAAGGTGTATGGGCAGCTTAAAACACAATAATACACTTCTCAACGTTACAACCCCCCCCCCGCACAAATATAATAATAAAATTCCCTCCGCACACAAAAAATAATACACTCCTCCCCGTTATAAGCCCCTCCACACACATAAAATATTATACTCCCCCCTTATTAACCCCCCCACACACACAAAATAATACGCTCCCCTTTATTAACCCCCCCCCCACACAAAATAATATGGTCCCCCCTTATTAACCCCTCCCACACAAAATATTAATACACTCAACCCCCTCCCCCAGCCCCCTCACCTGTTCACGTCTTTGCAGGGAGGAGGCTGTGAGCAGGATCGATCCCTGGTTATCTGGGGGTGAATAGTGAGGTCTGCAGCAGATCTTCTCCTCGCATACATTCTTTCTTTCGGCCGGAGCTCAGAACTGTCAGAGCTCCGGCCGAAGAAAGCCAGAGCTGACAGTAGCTGCTCTGTGGTCTGTATCCAACATAGATGTCTGCGACTGTGTGCCTGACATGTCAGCGGGCCACATAGTACCGGCTCGCGGGCCGGAGTTGGCCTGCGGACCGATACTTGTAGACCCAAATTTCCACTCGCCCTCACTTTATTTTTACTCGCCAAATGCGAGCAGGACGAATGAAAACTTTGAGCCCTGTATATATTGTGACAGGGTATACGACTCGGTGTATGTCAGTGAGAGGTTGAAAAGGGCAGCTTTCCCTGGCTAGGATGCTGCACTGGGTGGACGCAGAGTAGGGTTGCCACCTTTTCTTCAAGTATACCATTTGCGATGCCGATCTGCCCTGGAAGAGCTCACAAAGCGTTGTAATGCTTGACCTAATGGGTGGTCACACATTCCACCGCCAAAAAACTGGGCGGGATTATGTTAAAATCTGTGATCACATGACCGGTCACACATTCTAACGTAGTCACAAATATTGGTAGAACACTAGACTGTCCAGGTGAATCCCGGATGGGTGGCAAACCTAGAGACTTTGCATGACTCTGCGGCAAAAAAATACATCTCCCCCCCCGCAATTTTATTATTTTACTAACCTTATTTATCAACGGTTTCCACCAGCCACACGTCTACCACAATGTCCCATTCCTGGAACACAAGGAGGGAAATTTATCAAAACTGGAGCAGACAGAATGTGGAGCAGACAGAATGTGGAGCAGTTGCCCATGGCAACCAATCAGCATCTCTCTTCAGTTTGCTCAATTGAGATTTGAAAAAGAGAGAGAAGCTGATTGGTTGCTATGAGCAACTGCTCCAGATTTTGTCTGTTCCAGTTTTGATAAATTCCCCCCAAGGGATCACATATATATTGTTTCCTTGCGTTCTGGGGCAGACATGCCCCCCCCGCACAGGAACGTGCGGTA